TGATGTCGTCATACCAGGTGACAGCCAAACTGCCAAAAAACAACAGGAAAAACTCAGCCGTTATCAATCCCGCAAAAGTGAACTGCAAAGGCTCTGGCATAAACCACTACAGGTGGTCCCAATGGAAATTGGCACACTGGGTGCCGTGCCAGAAGATCTCAACTGGCATTTGGAAATAATAAACATTGACAAAATCACGATCTGTCAACTGCAAAAGGCCACCTTACTTGGATCTGTGCGGATCATTCAAAAATACATAACACAGTCCTAAACACTTGTTCGACTTGTGATTTTGTGATACGAAATCCAGCACATATATCTCGCTTGCTGTGTCATACTGTGTTTTTGTGTCAGTAAAATAATAATAATAAGAAGAAGAAGACCACGAGCTGAACATGAGTAAAGAGTGTGATGCGGCTGCTAATGAAAACCAATGCCATTCTTGTTGTTGTTGTTCATTCGTTCAGTCGTCTCCGACTCTTTGTGACCTCATGGACCAGCCCACGCTAGAGCTCCCTGTCGGCCGTCATCACCCCCAGCTCCTTCAAGGTCAGTCCAGTCACTTCAAGGATGCCATCCATCCATCTTGCCCTTGGTCAGCCCCTCTTCCTTTTACCTTCCACTTTCCCCAGCATGCTGTCTCCTCATGATGTGGCCAAAGTACTTCAGCTTAATGAAAACCAATGCCATTGTAGGCTGCATCAAAAGGACGATAGTGTTTACATCAGGGCTTCTCAAAACATTTTTCCTCTTTCTGCCTAAGAAATGGTTACATGATCCTGGGCAGATATGTACATAAAACTGATATATAGATCAAACATATACTGATAATAAATCACCATGTGCATAGAATTATGGAAAAAATAGACCCATGTCTGATCCCACAGCAAGCTGGCTTCAGGAAAGGCAAAAGCTGCACATTGCAAGTGCTGAACCTGACTCAGCACATAGAAGGTGGCTTTGAAAGGCAGCAGATCACAGGAGCTGTCTTCATAGACCTTTCAGCATCTTATGATACTGTGAACGACCGCCTCCTCCTGAGAAAAATGTATCATATCACAAAGGACTACCACCTCACCCGCCTCATAGGAAACCTGCTACAAAACAGGAGCTTTTTTATTGAGTTCCACGGCCAGAGAAGCAGATGGCGGAAACAGAAGAACGGCCTGCCTCAGGGGAGCGTGCTTGCTCCATCCATGTTCAACATCTACACAAATGACCAGCCACTGCCAGAAGGGACAGAGAGTTTCATCTATGCTGATGATCATGCCATTACTGCTCAAGCAGGGAGCTTTGAGATGGTAGAACAGAAGCTTTCCAAAGCTCTAGGAGCTCTTACTGCCTATTACAGGGAAAACCAGCTGATCCCCAACCCATCTAAAACACAGACATGTGCCTTTCACCTTAAGAACAGACAAGCATCCCGAGCTCTGAGGATTACCTGGGAAGGAATCCCACTGGAGCATTGCAGCACACCCAAATACCTGGGAGTCACTCTGGACCGTGCCCTGACTTCCAAGCACTGCCTGAATATCAAGCAAAAAGTGGGTGCTTGAAACAATATCATACGAATGCTGACTGGCACAACCAGAGGATCACAACCAGACACAGTGAAGACATCTGCCCTTGTGCTATGCTACTCTGCTGCTGAGTATGCATGCCCAGTGTGGAACACATCTCACCACACTAAAACAGTGGATGTGGTTCTTAATGAAACATGCCGCATCATCACAGGGTGTCTGCGCCCTACACCACTGGAGAAATTACACTGTCTAGCTGGTATTGCATCACCTGACATCCACCGGGAAGTAGCAGCCAATAGTGAAAGGACCAAGGCAGAGACATCTCCAGCCCATCCCTTGTTTGGGTATCAGCCAGCAGGTCAACGACTTAAATCAAGAAATAGTTTTCTAAGATCTACAGAGACACTAGCTGGAACACCTTAGCAAGCGAGAGTCCAAAAGTGGCAGGCTCAAACCCAGAACCTCAATCAATGGCTGATATCAAATGAGAGACTCCCCGCTGGGCACACAGAAAACTGGGCGACTTGGAAGGTGCTGAACAGACTGGGCTCTGGCACCACGAGATGCAGAGCCAATCTTAAGAAATGGGGCCTCAAAGTGGAATCCACGACATGCGACTGTGGAGAAGAGCAAACTACAGACCACCTGCTGCAATGCACCCTGAGCCCTCCCACATGCACAATGGAGGACCTTCTTGCAGCAACACCAGAGGCACTCCAAGTGGCCAGATACTGGTCAAAGGACACTTAATCAACTACCAAGCTTGCAAACTTTGTGTTTTGTCTGTTTGTTTTGTTAAAAATGTAATACAAATGTCTGGTTGCTCCTGACACGATAAATAAATAACCATGTGTGAAACTAGTTTATTTTCCTTTTTCTGGAGTGCAGCTGAAGAGTGCCTTAGCAAGCTTGGTTCATTTAGCTTGGAGAAGGGAAGGTTGAAAGAATGAGAGTCAGGTTTAAATATTGAGGAAGGGACAAACTTGTTTTCTGCTGCTTTAGAGACTAGAACACAATGGATCCAAACTGCAGGAAAAGAGATTCCACCTAAACATCAAGAAGAACTTCCTGAGAGCCAGAACTGTTCCGACAGCGGAATATGCCGCTGCTTGAGAGTCTGGTGAAACCTCCACCTCTGGAAATTTTTTTTGACGCAGAGGCTGGATGGCCATCTGTCAGGAGGGGTTAGATGGTTTATTCCTCTATGGCAGAAGGGGGTTGGACTGGAAGACCTTTGGGGATCTCTTCCAACTCTAATGAAATATATATTCCTCCTCTGGAATTTCTTTTTTAAACAGAGGCTGGACGGCCATCTGTTGGGAGAGCCTTGATGGTGTCTTCCTGCCTCACAAAAAGGACGGTGACAGGATGGCCTTGAGGGGTTTCTTCCAACTTGGATTCTATGATTTGGGATGAGGGACACTCAACTTATTCACCTCCCAACCATTGCCTTCTCCCAATCTGGCAGAAGAGGGTTAGACTGGATGGCCTCTGGGGATCTCTTCCAATTCTAGGACTGTATAATAATAATAATAATAACAACAACAATTACTCGGGGAGATGGTGGCGAGACATAAAAATAAAGTTATTATTATATTGTTATTAATAATAATTAATAACAACAACAACACTTTTTGATGAGGGCGATGATGGAGTCTACTTCTCTGGAGGTTTCGAAGCAGAGGCTGGACGGCCATCTGACAGGAGGGCTTTGAAGGTGTCTTCCGTTACGGCAATCGCAGGTTGGACTGGATGGCCTTTGGGCTCCCTTCCAACTGAATGGCCACCTGTTGGGAAGGCTTTTGACGGTGTCTTCCTTTACTGCAAAAGGAGATTGAACTGGATGGCCATTGGTGCTCCCTTCTAACTGGATGGCTATCTGTTGGGAAAGCTTTGATGGTGTCTTCCTTTACGGCAAAAGGAGGTTGGACTAGACGGCCTTTGGGGCTCCCTTCCAACTGGACGGTCATCTGTCTGGAGGGCTTTTGTCTACCTTTATGGACAAAGGGGGTTGGACTGGGTGGTCTTTAGGGCTCGCTTCCAACTGGACGACCATCTGTTCAGAGGGCTTTAACTGTGTATTTACTGCAAAAGGAGGTTGGACTGGATGGCTTTTGGGGTATCTGTTGTGAGGGCTTTTGACAGTGTCTTCCTTTACTGCAAAAGGAGGTTGGACTGGATGGCCATTGGTGCTCTCTTCTAACTGGATGGCTATCTATTGGGGAAGCTTTGACAGTGTCTTCCTTTACGGCAAAAGTGGGTTGGCCTGGTTGGTCTTTGGAGCTCCCTTCCAACTGGATGGTCATCTGTCTGGAGGGCTTTTGTCTTCCTTTATGGCCAAAGTGGGTTGGACTGGGTGGTCTTTAGGGATCGCTTCCAACTGGACGGCCATCTGTTCAGAGGGCTTTAACTGTGTCTTTACTGCAAAAGGAGGTTGGATTGGATGGCTTTTGGGGTATCTGTTGGGAGGGTTTTTATGGTGTCTTCCTTTACTGCAAAAGGAGGTTGGACTGGATGGCCATTGGTGCTCCCTTCTAACTGGATGGCTATCTGTTGGGAAAGCTTTGATGGTGTCTTCCTTTATGACAAAAGGGGGTTGGCCTGGTTGGCCTTTGGAGCTCCCTTCCAACTGGACGGTCATCTGTCTGGAGGGCTTTTGTCTTCCTTTATGGCCAAAGGGGGTTGGACTGGGTGGTCTTTAGGGCTCGCTTCCAACTGGACGGCCATCTGTTCAGAGGGCTTTAACTGTGTATTTACTGCAAAAGGAGGTTGGACTGGATGGCTTTTGGGGTATCTGTGGGGAGGGCTTTTATGGTGTCTTCCTTTACTGCAAAAGGAGATTGGACTGGATGGCTATCTGTGGGGAGGGCTTTTATGGTGTCTTCCTTTACTGCAAAAGGAGATTGGACTGGATGGCTATCTGTTGGGAAAGCTTTGACGGTGTCTTCCTTTACGGCAAAAGGGGGCTGGCCTGGTTGGCCTTTGGAGCTCCCTTTCAACTGGACGGTTATCTATCTGGAGGGCTTTTGTCTTCCTTTATGGCCAAAGAGGGTTGGACTGGATGGCCTTTAGTGCTCCCTTCCAACTGGACGGCCATCTGTTCGGAGGGCTTTGACTGTGTCTTTACTGCAAAAGGAGGTTGGACTGGATGGCTTTTGGGGCTCCCTTCCAACTGGGTGGTTATCTGTTGGGAGGACTTTGATGGTCTTCCTTTACTGCAAAAGGAGGTTGGACTAGACGGCCTTTGGGGCACCCAACTGGATGGCCATCTGTTGGGAGGGCTTTGACGGTGTCTTGCTTTACGGCAAAGGGGTTGGTCTGGATGGCCTCTGGGCCCCCTTCCTCTGCCCCAAAGGGTTTCCCGCGCCCTTCCTTCCCTGCGCGGCGCCAAAGGGACTCTTCCCCGGCGACCCCCCTCCCTGCCCGGCCCCCCTGCCCGGCCTCCTTCCCTCTCCTCCGCTTCAGGCCCCTCTTTACCTTCTTGGGCTCCGTGGTGCCCGAGAGCCGCGACTGCAGCTTCCCCACAACTTCGAGCACCGACTCCGCCATGTTGACTGCTGGCGAGGTCTCTTTCACAACGGAAGTGGGCTCGCGGCTTCAACAGCTCTACCCAACAGCCCTGGCGGTTCCTCGACCTCCCAACGGCTCGGATCCTCCTTTGCCCCGCCCTCTTTTCCCCTTTCTCCTCCTCCGCCGCCATGTTTGTTCCGGGCAAAATCCAGGAAGCACGGAAACAGAGGTAACTAAGAACCGTTTTCCGAAGAGAGCAGCGTCCTCCATTTTGAAAGCTGGAAAAGGCTTCGCAGCGGAGGCTAACGGCTGTCATTTTTGAAGAGGGCAAGGCGGAAGGACGCGGGGAGAAACAGCTCACAAACAGCTGGAGGAAAACAGTTTGGAACGTTCCCATCTTGAAGGGGGGCAAGAAGCTATCTGGCTGCCATGTTGACTGTGGGCAAAAGACTGCTCTCATCAAAGTCATTCAATGGTAGTTTTTGGGCTAACATCAAATCATGCCATCCGAATATGTGTACGCTCTTTCTTTTGTTTATTATTGAGAATGGCCCCAATTTCTTAACTGTAATCCCTGTATTTGCATTTAGGACAGGCCTGGGCCAACTTTGGCCCTTCAGGTGTTTTGGACTTCAACTCCCACAATTCCCAACAGCCTCAGGCCCCTTCCTTTCCCCCCTCAGCCACTTAATTGGTTATTAAATAACAGTATTTAATTATTGCTAAATGCTAATATAAATAAATTAGTATTGCTAAATATTAATATAAATATAAATAATATAAAATAAAGGTTTATTATTATTATTAATAGTAGTTACTGTTCAATACTATTATTTTGTTATTATTAAATAATGGTATTTAATTATTGTTAAACAATACTACCTAGCTATTATTAAATAATGCTGTTTATTATTATTAAATAATGCTGTTTATTATTATTAAATAATGCTGTTTAGTTATTAAACAATACTATTCACTTATTATTAGGTAAAGGTAAAGGTAGTCCCCTGACATTAAGTCCAGTCATGTCTGACTCTGGGGTGTGGTGCTCATCTCCATTTCTAAGCCGAAGAGCCAGCGTTGTCCGTAGACACCTCCAAGGTCATGTGGCCGGCATGACTGCATGGAGCGCCGTTACCTTCCCGCCGGAGTGGTACCTATTGATCTACTCACATCTGCATGTTTTCGAACTGCTAGGTTGGCAGAAGCTGGGGCTGACAGCGGAAGCTCACGCCGCTCCCCAGAATCGAACCTGCGACCTTTCAATCAACAAGCTCAGCAGCTCAGTGCTTTAACCCACTGCGTCACCGGGGGCTCCTCACTTATTATTACATAATACTATTTATTTATTATGAAATAATGTTATTAAATAATAATAATATGTATTTATTATTAAATAATAGTGTTTAATTATTGCTAAATAATAATATGTACCAGTAGTTACTATTCAATCATATTCTTTAGTTATAATTAAATAATTCTATTGTTTATTATTAAATAATACTTTTTGGTTATTATTAAATAATACTATTTAGTTATGATTAAATAATGCTATTTAATTATTATTCAATAATATCATTTAATTATTATTAAATACTATTCACTTATTATTAAATAATATAATTGAATTATTGCTAAATAATAATATGTACCAGTACTTACTATTCAATACTATTATTTTGTTATTATTAAATAATAGTATTATTAAATAATAGTATCTAAATACTGTTAAACAATACTACCTGTTGTTGTTCATTCGTTCAGTCATCTCCGACTCTTCGTGACCTCATGGACCATCCCACGCCAGAGCTCCCTGTCGGCCGTCACCACCCCCAGCTCCTTCAAGGTCAGTCCAGTCACTTCAAGGATGCCATCCATCCATCTTGCCCTTGGTCGGCCCCTCTTCCTTTTGCCTTCCACTTTCCCCAGCATAATTGTCTTCTCTAGGCTTTGCTGTCTCCTCATGATGTGGCCAAAGTACTTCAACTTTGTCTCTAGTATCCTTCCCTCCGGTGAGCAGTTGGGCTTTGTTTCCTGGAGGATGGACTGGTTGGATCTTCTCGCAGTCCAAGGCACTCTCAGAACTTTCCTCCAACACCACAGCTCAAAAGCATCGATCTTCCTTCGCTCAGCCTTCCCTAGCTAATACTACCTAGCTATTATTAAATAATGCTGTTTATTGTTATTATTAAATAATACTATTTATTATTAAATAATGTTATTAAATAATTTTATTATTATTAAATAATAGTATTTAATTATTGCTAAATAATAATATGTACCAATAGTTACTATTCAATATTATTTAGTTATTATTAAATAATACTATTTAGTTACGATTAAATAATGCTATTTAATTATTATTAAATAATACTATTTAGTTATGATTAAATAATGTTATTTAATTATATTCAATAATATGATTTAGTTATTATTAAATAATACTATTTAGTTAATAAATATTATTTAGTTATTATTAAATACTATTCATTTATTATTAAATAATAATATTTAATTATTGCTAAATAATAATATGTAAAGGTAGTTACTATTCAATAATATCATTTATTTATTATTAAATAATACTAATTAGTTATTATTAAGTAATGCTATTTGGGTAATGGTAAAGGTTTTCCCCTGACATTAAATCCAGTCGTGTCTGACTCTGGGGTGTGGTGCTCATCTCCATTTCTAAGCCGAAGAGCCAGCGTTGTCAGTAGACACCTCCGTGATCGTGTGGCTGGCATGACTGCATGGAACGCTGTTACCTTCCCGCTGGAGCGGTACCTATTGATCTACTCACATTTGCATGTTTTCAAACTGTTAGGTTGGCAGAAGCTGGGGTTGACAGCGGAAGCTCACGTCGCTGCTCTGATTCGAACCTGCAACCTTTCGGTCAACAAGCTCAGCAGCACAGCGCTTTAACCCACTGCGCCACCGGGGGGCACACTATTTAGTTATTTTGTTATTATTAAATAATGCTATTTAATTATTATTAAATAACACTGTTTAGTTATTATTAAATAACTAGCTGTCTGCTGCCATGCGTTGCTGTGGCCCAGTCTGTGTATATGTGTTTTCTATGTGTGTTTGCATATATATGTGTGACTTTGCGCATGCGTTATAATGTAATTTTGGGGCGGTTTTTTTTTGTTTTTTTAAGTCCCTTCCTCTGTGTTTTTCAGTGTTTTTATGAGTGATGGTCACTTGTTGGCCTGACAGGTGTGTTGTGTCCAAATTTCGTGTCAATTCGTCTAGTGGTTTTAGAATTATGTTATTCCCACAAATGAACATTACATTTTTATTTATATAAATACTATTTAGTTGGGTTTTTTTGTGTCAGAAGCGACTTGAGAAACTGCAAGTCGCTTCTGGTGTGAGAGGCCATTCCCCCGGGGACACCCGGATGATTGCTGTTTTACCATCCTCTGGGAGGCTTCTCTCATGTGCTCGCATGAGAAGCTAGAGCTCAACAGACGGGAGCTTACCCTGTTCGCCAGATTCGAATGACAACCTATCGGTTGACCAGTCCTGAAGGCACAAGGATTTAATCCATTGCGCCACCGGGGGCTCCTTTTAAATAATACTATTTAGTTATTATTAAATAATGCTATTTAGTTTTTAAATAATCATCGGGTCTGAATGCACACTATTGCCGCAAGTCTAGAGGTGAGAAAAATAGCATAGAATTATAGCGATGGCCGAAGGGCATCATGCTTTCCCCTTTCTTTCTTCTCAGGCAGCGTTTTTCCTTGGGAGGCCTCCCTGACAGCTCTGACCTTCTCTGTATTCTGCATGGGCTCCATTTCCATAGCTGTCAAGGCATCTGTCTGCGTCATTGGCCTCAATGTGACAAGGAGGGTCAGCTGTCCAGGCCGCTTTGGGAGAAGGGAGAGAGAGAAGGAGCTGCTGCTGCTGTGTTTGGATCCCCTTTACTTCCCGGGCTTTATTTTGGACACCTTTTTCCCCCATTGGATTAAACTCTCAGCATAAAGGTAAGCCTTCTACGTTTCCCAGGATTTGTTCAAACCACTTGTTCCAATGTCAATATTTGCAGAGCAGTTTCCAGGTCACTTGAGCTTTTTGGATCCAAACTGAACAAAGCAGGTCCTTCTTATGGACATCAAGCCGGGAAGAGAACAGGGAACAGATGGCATAAGGCTCAGCTTTCCAACTTATTTTCTTAATTTTAAATAATAATAATTCAAGTGATTAATGAGGAAGAACAGACTCGTTGGGACACAGTGCAGCAGTTTGCTTTCTCCTGAGCTGACTGGCAAAAGCAAACTGCTGCATTATGTTCCAACATAATCATCATCAATAATATCATATATACTCAAGTATAAGCCAACTAAAATATAAGCTGAGGCACCTAATTTTACCACAAAGAACTAGAAAAACATATTGACTCGAGTATAAGCCAAGAGTGGGAAATGCCACAGCTACTGGGATATTTCAAAATAAAAATAGATATCAATAAAATTACACAAATCGTGGCGTCCGTAGGTTAAATGTTTTTGAATATTTCCATAAAAGTGTAATTTAATATAAGACTGTCCAACTCTGATGAAACCATTATTCTAATCTTCTTCAATGTAAACGTGCTTACGAATCCTTCCACAAATAATAGAGTAAAATAATAAATGTAATGAAATAATGATAATATAGTAAAATAATGGAATTGTAATAATAACAGCAATAATAGAGTAAAATAACAAATGTAATAATAATAATAGAGTCAAATTTATTATTTATTTATTTATTTAGAGCTTTTATAACCTGGTCTTCTCGACCTCCGAGGAGGGACTCAGGCCGGCTAACAACAGAGAATCAATATACAAATAAACTAAAGCATAATAACATCATAGTACGTTAATACATTAAAACACATTAAAATACAGATCAAGAATTACATAATAAAATTAATAATAGAGTAAACTAATAAATATAGTAATAACAATAATAAATAGAGAAAAATAATTGATGTAATAATAATAAATAGATTAAAATGATAAATGTAATAAAAATAATAATAGAGTAAAATAATGTGAATTTAGTAATAGTAAATAGAGTAAAATAATAAATGTAATAAAAATAATAATAGAGTAAAATAATGTGAATGCAATAATAGTAAATAGAATAAAATAATAAAATTTAATAACAACAACAACAACAACAACAACAACAACAACAGAGTAAAATAAGAAATAACCTTGACTCAAGTATAAGCCGAGGGGGACTTTTTCAGCCCAAAAAACAGCTGAAAAACCCGGCTTATAGGCGAGTATATACGGTAATAATGATACATTTTTAACAGACAAAAGCATTAATAAAGAAAAAAAACCACTATAAACACAGCCAGACTTAAACAACAAATCCACATCAAGCTAGGCAACAAATTGCATCTAACTTTAAACTACAAACATATATACACAAATTGATTTTAAAAGAGGATTGCCTATTTCCCTTTTTTCACTTTCTCTAATTATATGTACGTAACTTTAAATGACAGACATATATGTATAAATTAATTTAAAGAGAGGATTCCTTGCTTCCCTTCTTGTCGGGTTTGTCTTTTTATTTAGTTTTTTTCTTCCACCTTTTTTTTGTCTCAGAAGTGACTTAAGAAACTGCAAATCGCTTCTGGTGTGAAAGAAATTTTGCTATAGTTTTGCAATGAGTACGTGATAGAGTCTCAACCAGTTTAGCATAGTTTGTAGCGGCCACAAAAACAATGTTTTTGGAGTAGAACAACTACTTTCAAAGGAAGCACAATTAAACAGGAAAATAACACTTTCAAACCAGAAACAGAAACTGTTTTCAAACATCGTTACGTAGTGTTATATGAGTCTACACTACGATTTAATCCAGTTCCGTCTGCATTATAATGGCAGTGTAGATGGGGCATGAGACTGTAGCCAGCCCTTCACAGGACACTTATAAATGCCAGAAACGGTGAATCCAAAAAAAAAATTGCCTTTTCTTTTTCAAACCTGAGAGAATAACTCTCTAGGACTCTCTCAGCCCTCCAGCATTTTGCGTTAAAACATCGAAACATCTGAGCATCCCTTGGGCAACATCCTTGCAGACAGCCAATTCTCTCACACCAGAAGCAACTTGCGGTTTCTCAAGTAGCTCCTGACTTGGAAAAATATCACGTGGAGTCAGTCCTCCAAACTCATCTAGTATGTTCAATTGCTACTCAGTTCTGCTCTGTTTGTTATGTAGGAAAGGGTTAAAGGAGAGACAGTGGGTAGGGTCATGCAAATTCCACACCAATAGAGAGAGAAAGGAACCCTGGGATGCCTGCCTGTGGTGGAGGAAACATGTAAAATCTAGGATGAAATTGTCCCTGAATCAAAGCGTTAGTTGGGTGGTGAGCCGTAATGTTTGGGGAAGACATTAGCAGGGTTTGGGCTACATGTTCATGGCGCTTGGTGTAACCTGCAATGTCAGTGGAGGGAGTGCCTTTGGAGGCATCTCAGCACTTAGAATTACAGCCTGTATAGTTTTGGTAGCTTTTATGGATTTTATATGTATTTATGATGTGATTTAATTGCTTTTAACTGTGTGTGTGTGTGTGTGTGTGTGTGTGTGTGTGTGTATGTATGTGTATGTGTATGTGTGTGTATGTATGTATGTGTGTGTGTGTATATATATATATATATATATATATATATATATATATATATATATATATATATGGGGCATCTAATTGTTGCCTGTTTGTACGCTGCCCTGAGTCGCCTTCGGGCTAAAATGGGTGGGGTAAAAATGATGTAAATAAATAATAAATAAATAAATTTATGGAGGCAGGAAGCCGTGAAAGTGGGCACCTTCGCATACACACATACACATTTTTCACTTTTATTATGTGTATAGATTATTATAATCATCACCATTATATTTATTTATACCCCGCTTTATCTCCCCAAAGGGCACTCAAAGCCGTGGACGATGACGGCCAACTGTAGCTGGTTTGCTTCAGCTTGAGCTTCTGGGCACATTAATGGACTTGTTCATACATGGACTGATACGTATGAAAGCTCATGCTGAAATAAATCCATTTGTCTCAAAAAGGAAGCTAGATTCTTTTCCCCCCAAAGCCCATTGCCCTATTTATGCTGAAACAGACCCATAAAGCTATCGCTTTGGAAAGGACTAAAAGCCGTACACAATACACAGAAGGCTTAGGAGTAAATATCAATGCTATGTGTGGTTTCAATTATCCGCACGTAGTCCGGAATGTATCCCCTGTGGATAAAGAAGAGGCCATCCTACCATACCTGCATTTAGTTAAGTTGTAATTGGTTTTATAATTGAGATGTGCTTGCAGGGGACCATGTGCCTCTGTAAGTGCTTCGCAGTTATTTACACACATAAATGAATGCTATAAATAACACTGGAATCCTATGAGTCTGCAGCTGTGTTTTGGGGCATCGGCTCCAAGGAGGATCCGATGCTGAAAGTGACTCTCTGGATAAAACGTTTGTTGGGATGGGTTGAATCGCTCCTTTTTTCCATGATCTAGGAACCGATCCATGTTCTTTCTTCCTTATTTTTGGTAGCAAAGATTAAAGAAGTAATGCCCAGAAACCCATTAGACTCAATTCACCGAGGTGTCTTTGTATATCCAGTTCCCATTTAAAGCACCACTAGAAAAACCTTTTTAAAATACACTAGACTTTCAGCTAACTGGCATCCATGGTAATTGGTAGATACAGGATAAATATAATTTCTGGTTGTTTGAGAGTTAATATTCAAAATAGGCCTAACTCATACTAGACCAGGGCATAAACTCTGTATTGACGCGATATTAATTTTGAATTAGTCATTAAAAGCAACTTAAGTCAAATTAAAACGAGCTTAACATAACATTTCTGCTTAAAATTGAGTTTATTTTCATTTGTATTTAAAGTAGTAATGTATTGCTCAGATACTTTAATCTCTTTTGTCTTTTCTTTCATCCATCCGTTTTTCCTTCTGTTCTTCCTCCCCTCCCTTCTACCTTTTCCCCTCCCTTCCTTCCCTCCCTCCCTCCCTCCCTCCCTCCCTCCCTCCCTCCCTACCTCATACCTTTTCCCCTTCCTTCCTTTCCTTCCTCCCTCCCTCCCCTCCCTTCTCTTCCTCATACCTTTTCCCCATATTCCTTCCTTCCATCCATCCTTCCCTCCCTTCCTCATACCTTTTCCCCTCCCTCCCTCCCTCCCTTCCCTTCCCTTCCCTTCCCTCCCTCCCTCATACCTTTTCCCCTTCCTTCCTTTCCTTCCTCCCTCCCCTCCCTTCTCTTCCTCGTACCTTTTCCCCATATTCCTTCCTTCCATCCATCCTTCCCTCCCTTCCTCATACCTTTCCCCCTTCCTTCCTTCCTTCCTTCCTTCCTTCCTTCCTTCCTTCCTTCCTTCCTTCCTTCCTTTCCTTCCTTCCTCCCCTCTCTTCCTCGTACCTTTACCCCGTATTCCTTCCTTCCTTCCCTCACTCTTACCTTTTCCCCTCCCTCGCTTTCTTTCTTCCCTCATACTTTTTCCCTTTCCTTCTATCCTGTTTTCCTTCTTTCCTTCCTTCCCCTTCCTTCCCTTACCTTTTCCCCTTCCTTCCCTTCCCTTCCTTCCCTTTCCCCTTCCTTCCTTTTCTCCCTCCTTCCCTCCCTTCCCTTTTCCCTCCTCCCTTCCTTCCTTCCTTCCTTCCTTCCTTCCTTCCTTCCTTCCTTCCTTCCATCTTTTCCTCCATCCTTCCCCTCTTCCCTCATCCTTCCCTTCCCTCCCTCTCTTTTTCCCTCCCTCCCTTCCTTCCCTCTTCCTCCTCTTCTTTCCTTCCCTCCCTCCTTCCCTTCTACCTTTCCTTCCTTCCTTCCTTCCTTCCTTCCTTCCTTCCTTCCTTCCTTCCTTCCTTCCTTCCTTCCTTCCTTCCCTTCTGTCTTTCCTTTCTTCTCTCTTTCCTCCCTCCCTCCCTTCCTTCTCCTTCCCTCATACCTTTCCCCCTTCCTTCCTTTTTC